GCAATATGCGTTTTTGCTGCCTGTTGCAGCGCTCTAGCGCTGCACGGCAAAAACGCATAATTAGGACCTTTTAAAGCGGTTCCATAAGGACACTACAGCGGCTAAGTCCGTATTTTTATTTTCTACCCTTCCTCAGATTCACTATTTCATGCACGTTACACCGGCTAAATTGGATGTCTTGGAAGCAGCCTCGCTACTTTAGTTTTATTCTTTTTGCGCGTACGTCTTTACAGTGCTGTAGTTTAGATTCATTGGTTTATGAATGGAAAACCGCTTAAAACAGGAAGTCGTGTGAAAACGATCAACGATTTTGGCATTGTCGTTCTGGAAATATCACCTTCGTATCCTGAAGATTCCGGCGAATATACGTGTCGTGCTGTAAATAAGGTGATCCTCACGCTGTTTATTCTAAATATTTTGCGCACGAGGGCATACTGTAACCAAAGCTGGCAGCCTTTTCATAGCTGCTACAACTAAAGCTGGCATCATTTGTTGGTCAGTCTGCTGGACATCCTTGGGCTCGCCTTCCTGCTTTTATGCGTTTTTTGCATCTATGCAATGCAGAAAACGCATATTGACGAGAGGTTGTCTGTGTGTGTTTCTCTGTGTGCGTCTGTTTTTCATCTCGAGACCTTCAAAAGCCACAGGGCTTACTGATGGCATTACCGGTGTTTGACGCCTATATATAAGTGCATCTCATTCACGCTAACGGCCGTTGCGTGTAAGAGGTTTTTTGAGGTGTCTGCTGCCATCAGCCATTAGATGGAGATTACCTGGCACCTGCTGGTACTCTGGGTACAAGTACCAGCATCCTCTCACGTGTTATTTCTCTTATATGTCGATTTGTCTAGGCAGTAGTTCTGGTATAAAAAGTAGATTTCTTCAAATTTTCAGGTTGGTGAAGCAGTGACCAGTACACAGCTGACATGCAATCCAAAGCAAACAATCATAACCCATTCACAACTGCCGGACAGTATGTCAGGCGCACATAAACGTATAGTTGAAATTGAAACGCCAAAAGCACCAGCGCCTGAGAAGCCAGATTTGGATTATGGAGCGCCAAGATTCCTGACGCAGTTGCAGGTTTCGTTGAATAAATTTATAATAATCCAAGCATGAAATGAAATTGTCCAAACCATTCAAAAGTTGTATTCTGTCATTTTGCACCAGCAGAAACGGGACTTTTTCGGTGAAGAATTGGATTGTAACATTTATATTCAAAGAAGGCAAAACTCCGTCCATATTCGTTCTTTGTGAGATGCAAGGGTAGTGGAAGTAGCCTGAAAGGTAGCATGCTAGTAGCTGTCGCCCATTTAGCAGGAAGTAAGTAACACTGCCTTTTGGGGGATGCGTTGAAGTAGATTAATGGCGGATTTGTCTTTCGGATACTTGCCGGTATCAGTTTACCATCGGAACAAATGAAAAGAATCCTAGGGAGTCGGTTGGCAGATTTGAGCCGCTTACCTTTTGCACAATAGAATCATTACTTTCTACCTCTCTTCCTTTCCCCTTT